TCGTTCCATAGGGCCGGAGCAGCAACAGAGAAGGCAGATTGGCAGATCCCACTTTCCCCTTTTTTTCTCAACCATTGAAAAAGAGACTATATATTAAATGTGCCATTGTATCCATCTTCTCTGTAATCTTAGCTATGTCCCATTATCTAATGCTTGCTTATTAAGTCATTAGAATATTTATTGGGATTCTCAGAATCCCAATGATTATTTGATGTGTTGTATTTCTCATAGTGCAAAGCAAATATTTGACAGTATAAAACAGAGCATGGAAACCAATCTTTTTGCTTGGCAACATTTCTATTAAAAAGATAGGAATTCCAATATGAGATTGATTTCATGTCATCCCAAGCCTTCACGCATGGCCCAGTTTGCAGAATAGTAGCAAGCAGAGTTATTATCAAAATACAGACATATACATATTTATTTATGGAAGAAAGAGCAATGGGAAGTGGGTAGGGGTGATTTGCAGAAAAAAGATAACAAGGAGAAATGGCTAAGAAATACCTCTTCAAGGTATCTCACTCTTAAGCTTTATTTTGAGGCTGTAGAAATTGAATGTAATAAAACAGTCACAAGACAAACAAACAGAAGATAAAGATAATCACCTACTATGTTCACACTTGTGCTAAGTTATAGTGTGGTTTAACTGTTTGTAATTCAGTGTCTGAACACAGCCATTGTGGTTTTGATATCCAGGCTTAGTGTGAACCGAGCCAAGTGTGGTCTCTCCAGTAAGGCATGGTTAAACAGAAGAGTTTTGACTTTGAGCCGTGGGGAAAAATCAAAGCTGACTTAAACAAAATTACAGTTCTATGCCCACTACTGTATCTGAGAATAAAACAATTGTGTTTATATGATAAATGCCAGAACTGATGTGGTTTGATTTGCAAGCTGGTTTTGATCCCAGCTGAGCAAGGGAGTTCCTGGGCAGTCTTCAACAAGCTTAACCTTCCCAGTGTTTGTTATGCTGATCTTTTTTTTCAAGATCGCTATGAAGGTTTCTGGCACTCCAATTTCACTGATTCAGATGCAACAACTCCAATCTGAGAAACAGTGATACTACAGACAGATATAAATCTTGTCCCTGCCCACTTTCTCTTTCCCCTTCCTTCACGGCTGGTATTGACAGTATGACTCCTCAGGGTAGCACTCAGGGTAACAGTGGGATCCGAACATATTAAAAGTATTTTTTTTAAAAAAAGAAGGCCAAAATCTTTTTACATAATGATTTTGAGTTAAGTGAATGAACAAAAAGAAAATATAAATGCAATATCATCAGTATTTGTGAAATTGTACAACTTCAAAAATCGGAATGAAAAAGGAGGAAGAGGCTAGAAAAATAAGTTGTAAATAGAACAACTCCAAAAACTGACCATTTTTCTCAAAAGTCTTCTCTTTGGGTATAGCTAAGAGAAACAAATTGATTTTTAGCATACTATTTGTTTACTTATTTATCTATTGGATTTTTACTTCATTTTCATTCTGACTTATGTTGACTTTCAGCAGCCAGAACATCTATGGTTAAATATAGCAGTAATGCAGAGTGACATGTTCAATCCTCCTTGTTGCAGTTCCTAATGCAGCAATATTAGGATAAAATAAAATATGAATTGTTTTTCTAACTTTTGAATTACAACTCCAAGAGTAAGGTGATTTTAACTACGCTTTATTGAAAAATTTCTGAGGTGTCCTGCATCCACAAATATTTTTGTTGTTTTAACATTTTAAGATGATAAAATATTAATTTCACATTATTTACAGTGATCTTCTATGAATTTACAGAGATGGGACATTATGCCTGTTATTTATGTGCATAAATAAAATAAATATCAATTTCATCATTTTTCTTCAGCTTTTTTATAAAAATGAGGTTTTGGCTTAGGAGCCACTATTAATTTTTCCAAAACCTCTAATTACGGTATAATTTCTGAGGCAGTGATAGCATCTGGATTAAATAAACCAAATAGCAAATGATTAAACTGAATATATTTCCAAGAACATTCAATAAAAACTTTTTTAAATTTTATGTTAAAACAGTTTCCTTGATCCTAATTAATTATGTTGTGACAAAGCTGGTTTATCACAAGCATTGTTTAAAATGCTTAATATAAGTTTCTGAAGGGTAACAAGTCAACATAATGTTTGTTACCAGGTAATTTTCATCTATGCTTTGCAACATTAAATGTAGATATTGAAGATATTAAATGTGGATATTGAAATAAAATATAAACAAGGTTCTCAGTATAGTATTGGCCAGAATTCAATGGGTTCAAGTAATAAATCTTGGTTGAACTAAAGAAGACTTGAATATTGAAGTTCTTACAGCCAAAACCCAAAGCTGGATTAAATGCTAATGATAATACTGAAAGTATAGAGAATTAAATCTTACCTTTCTCTTTGTTTGCATCCTTCCGTTATTATTTTTATAAATATCTCAAAATGGCAAACAGATTTAATGCAACTGATAGTTGTCATTTGTGAAATGAAGACTCTTCAAAAATATCTATTTGGTGTTCTTAAAATAATGGAATGGAATAAATGTAAATCAACCCCAAAGGCTAAATTCTGGCAGACACTTTTATGTTCTTACTCAGATTCCCAGGAAATTTCAAAACTTTTTTCATTTTTTTTTTCATGCCTCCAGTTTCTTAAAATCAGTATGTTATATCATGCTTTGGACAAAAGCCCTTAAAGTGTAGTTTCCAGAGGTGAAATCAACTTACCTTCGCTACTGATTTGCAAATGTGAGCGCACTGCCACCTCTGCACATATCCACGACCTTCTGTGCATGTGCAGATTATCAAAAACGGGGTGTGATGAGGTCCGGCCGAATCCTTCTGTTGCCACTGCTACCAGTTTGCCCAAACCAAATAGAACCGACTGAATTGCCTCAGTAGTTTCCCAGTTTAGATACCATAGGATACTCAGGCAACATTAAGTACTGTACTTTGTAAATTGATTGTAAAGAGAGGCCCACAAGACTGGACAGTTTCTTCTAGGTTGTTTATAAGGAGGATTCTGTAGAAAGAACCTCCTCAAAATATATTGAGCTTAGCATTCAGAACAGTTTTACAAAGTACTAGAAGTTTCTTTTTTTTTCATTCCTATGTTATTACTTTGGTTCTTCTTTTTTGTGAGCTTGCAAGGGAAGCACTCTTGTTTATTTCCTTTTTCCTTTTTAGATTTTTATAAATCCTGCCTTTATTATTTTTATAAATAACTCAGGGTAGCAAACGTACGTGATACTCCTTTCTCCTCTTTTCCCATGCTACAATAACTCTATTACGTGAGTTGGGCTGAGAGGGAATGACTGGCCCAAAGTCACCTAGCAGCTTTCATGCATAAGATGGGACTAGAATTCACAGCCTCCTGGCTTGTAGCCTAGTTTCTTAATTACTAGAACAAACTGGCTCTCTTTGAACTAGGATTGTTACAACAGAGCCAGCACTATGTTATTAATTTGACTTTCCATAGAAATCATGCTCTCACAAGGTTTGACAATGGAGATTGGTTTATTTGTTTGTTTGGTTAATTAGTTAGTTAGTATATAGCAATAAAAGTGGAGGAATTTACAAAAATAACTGGAATAGCATCTTTGGTCATATGTAGCCAAGCAGGGCAGAATTGTAGAAAATTGGAGCAAAGAACTTCCAAAGATACCACAATCAAGTCAGTGGCACCAAATGTAACTTTCAAATAAAAAATGGACATTCTTTACCTTTTTAGAGAAGAGAACAAAATGCTAATTTCTAGCCAGTGGATAGAAAGAATTACCTTTCTATCCATTGGCTGGAATGGATTACCTTTCTATCCATTGGCTGGAACATTAGTTTTCTGAAGATGAGTCAGGAATCAGTATTGCTCTGACGTCAGCTGTTTCCAAGGGGAGAAAAATTGTGCAGGCTGCAGGGCAAAAGGTTCAACCGTTCCCTCAGGCATGGCCAAATTTCATAAAAGCCACTCAAGGAAAAGGAGCGGCAGCCTACAGTTGAATAAGAAACTCTTCTCTCTGTGTGGCAATTGGGTTTCTTCTTTGGAATGAAACAATCAAAAGGCAGAGCTTGCTCCACCCAGACACCCACATAATGTTAAGTGGCAAAAGGTGCCAGAAAGAATATTTCTTATGGAACAAGTTTTTTTTTTCTTTTCCAAAACCTCCATCACATTTAGAGCTACTATAGCAGAGTTTCTCCATTTTGGCAACTTTAAGATAGGTGGACTTTGGCTCAGAACTCCCAGCCATGAAAGTCGCCATGGTTGAGAAACCCTATGTTACAGATTATCTTGAAAAGAAGGAACACATTTCTCAAGATATTGTGTGGGATTTCTGACTTTCTAAGGACCACCTATCTTGTTTGAATCTGATTTACCAGCAAGGTTTCCACAGGGACTAAGATCAGAAATGTTGAGAAAGAGCTTTCTGCTTCCTCCAGAGCTATGATTGCTTACCTTTCTCTTAAAAAAAAAACAAGCACATCTTGACCTTTAAAATTGCTCCTGTATTTTATTGGTGTAATGGTTTTTGAATAGTTTCACTCTGTGATTTGATTGCTATCTTATTTTAATTTGTTTTGGTTCTGAACAGGAAAAATGATATATATGTATATTTTGTTAGCAAAATGATTTATTACTGTAGGGGAAGGGGAAGTGATCTGTTCAGGATTGTTCAAATATCCCTAATGTGGCAGTCTGTATTTATTGCAGATTAGCTTAAATGGCAGGACATCAAGTTACTTAAGGCAATAAAGCAAACTGTGTAGCAAAATGAGAATCCTTCACATCTGCCACTTCTGCCTGCCTTCTGAAATGGTGTCACATCTCTGACCTTCTCATCTGTTTGTTGCAAGAATTATGGTGTGATGAGAATTTCTGTGTATTCACATCTGCTTCGTATCTTAAATCTTTAGTTAATTGTGATTCATTTCTAAACTTCCCAATTGCCACAATTTCTCATTCTCTTTTTACTAAGTTATTCCTGGTTTTCTTGGCAGCAATTAATCCAAGATTTGCGATGACAACCAAAGTCCCGATGGATCCCAGTGATACCAGTGATAGAAATGCAGACGCAAATACAGATGTAATCGTAGGTATGGAACACGGTACCTTGTTTTTCTTTTCCTACACAGCTGAAATAGTTCTTCATTTGCTCAATTGATCTAACTCTCATGAGGGCTTTACTTGACTTCATGCAATAAATAAAACCACAAACTAAAACAACATTTTGGAACCACTCATGGAGGTATTATTCCAAAATTTTTCTGGAGAGAAGCCATAGATGTAAATTTACCAATAAAGATCAGATTTAGATTTATCACTTTATGGTGACTTCTTTCCTATCTTTAGTATTTCCAACTGGTAGTCATAGGAAGGAAGTGTTTAAGCTCACTGGTACTAGCAGGTTTCACAGACCTCAAGAGTTCTACCTTATGTTACTTAACAGAGCCCTCCCCTATTGTATTGTCAAGTTGTTGCCTTGACCACTACTGTAGTAGGCTTCTGATCCAATTATAAAAGTGCTGGTTATTACATTTAATAGATGTAACACAGGGACATATCAGGCAACATCTTGTCACTCTTGAATCTGCCTGTCTGGTCCTTACATCATGAGCGGATCATTGAGAGTTCCCTTCCTCAAGAGGTAGATAAATCTTGGGACAGGTGGCAAACCTTCTTGGTAGTGGCTTGCATTTTTGAATCTCACTTTTCCTGAAGTTACATATGATCCCTACTGTTCTTATATTTCATAAGCAAGTAAAACCAACCCATCTTCCAAAAGCCTTTGGCCCCGGTTGACTGTGGGTATCTACCATAGGAACTTTACTGACTTAATGATTACATTGTCTTGATGTTTTCTTTTCTTTCATTTTTGATTCTATTATCAGTGGTTCATTCTGCAGAGTCCCTCCAGATTGGAGCAGCTATAAGCCTTGTTAAATAAACAAGCAAAATCCTTTTGAGGGAATTACATTGTTTCAGCAAAGATGGGGTGGGAACTTTTGATCATGTTCACACTCGCTTAATTACTGAAATGTTAATTAAGTGATACATTCCTAATTGTCTCACAGTTTTTCACTCTCTTTTGTTAAGTTCTTCCTCCTTGTTTCCTTGGCAGCAACTAATCCACAATTTGCAGTGGCAACGAAGACCCCGATGGATTCCAATACCAGTGATGCAGAACCAAATGCATACATAGATATAGAGCATGGTATCTTGTTGTCTTTTCCTTACACTGCTGAAACAGTTCCTAATTTCCTTAGTTGGTCTCACTCCAACAAAGATCCTACTGAAATCCTTGACTGCATACAATAGTTAAGACCACAGATTATAACAACATTTCTGAGCCCTGTGGGGATTATTATTCCTAAGCATTTTGGAAGAAAGCCATATAAGTGAAAAGTATAACTAACCGTTATAGTTTTATTTGCAGCTAATATGGTATGATGTGATTGCAAGTACTAACAGAATCAGTGATCTCATTTGGAGCCAAAAAGAGAACTTCCTTTAATTCCCAGTATAGAAATGTTCCTCCAGCTTTATTTCATTCTAGAATTTTAGAATGCTTGCGATAAATATGGATATATTCTATTTGCCTTCCCACCAGGATGTAAGAGTGTTTAAGAAATTTTGACATGAATTAGATCACTAACTATTTGCAACTATATAAGTAAAAAAAAAAACCATTTGTATATTTCTATTTCATAAAAAAGGGTGTTTAAGCCCCAAGGGAATTTTACATTTCCAGAAAGCCAAACACTTTGATGCATGAACTGCCCTGGTGATAAAATCAATCAACAAATGATTTTTCAACTTTAACTCAAAGATGGGGAATGTGGAGTGACCTAATTATCCAGCATTATTCCAGAGTGATTGAAACTACATTCCAATACCTACTTACTAGTGATTAAACCTCGTAAAACCCAAAGGACTTTCTTATTAGGAGACATTATATGAATGCACGATCTAATAAATATTTGCATATTGTTACACAAAGCTCTGATTTTCTATAGAGACCTGAATCTGTGTTGCTGTTGTGGTGGTTTAGATCATTATCCACCACCCAAATTCAGGAGCTTAGGTAATAAACATTTCCTTCTCTCTCTTTTCTCTACCACAAACCTGTGTGATAGGCTGGATAGGAAAAGGTCCAAAGTGTAAACTTGAATCTGAGATTTGAATCTGGATTCCCCAGCACTAGCCAACATCTGAACTATTGGCTTTTGGATCATTAATATTATATGTACAACAAAGGGATACAGATTAATCTAAATGCAGCCTCATTTTTGCATATCGTTTCCACAATTATTCTTCTGTTTTTTTACCTTTCCAGATTTTTACCCAGGGACTCCCAAAAGTCCCTTTCCTGTTACAAATTTTTCAGAGACTCTGGATATTTCGGAGACCACTGTAATGAGCACCACAATGACCACTGTTATGGGCAGCTCCCAGCCTGTCATTAGAAGTGGGACAGCTGATAACCTCATCCCTGTCTACTGCTCCATTTTGGCAGCTGTGGTGGTGGGTCTGGTGGCATATATTGCCTTCAAGAGGTAAGTAGCAGAGACGGTCCACAAGACTAGTGTGCAGGAGAAATGTTGTGATGGACGAGCAGTGACAGGCAGTGTCTAAAATTGATCTCGCTCACTGACTAGATGTCCTTCAGTTGTTTAAACTACTTCCTGTACCTGTTCTAAGGATGCAATTTTGGTTGACCATAGTGAAACAAATTCATGACTAGCACATTTTGCAGTTAAAACTATAAACTCCAGCATTACCAATGACAATATGATGATTTGCATCCAATTCTCATTTTCCTTTCAAGAAAATAGTGTGTAAAATATCATATCATTGACTATACTTGAACAGTCCTCTAGAACCTAAATACTGTTGCCTTCCTGCAACCCCACATAATTTGCAAGCAGGGGAGGCTAAGAGGCAAAGGAGAAAAAGGTAGCAGTGGAAGAGGAAGCCACTTTGTATGTGCTTACAACAGATGCACATTTTTCATACAGTACTTCAAGCATATTTGACCTTTAAATATAATTCCAGGGACACTCAAGAAAGTAGATGGGGATAGGATGCAATTAATTTGATTTATTTTCATGTGATGATTATTTTTCATATTTTAATAATTTCTAATAAGAATCTTTTGGTGAAGTTCAGGGGCCATGTCTCTGGCGTGCTCTAGAGAAGAATGGAACCATTCTTTGTTCCCATCCTCCTTCTACCCGTATTTTACACCCTTCCCTTAAGCGATAGACATCTTTATAAAGACAAATGGATATACTTCAATCATTTCAGAACTGGCCACATGCAATTATCCTTGAATGGCAAGGATGAATATCCTCTAGAAATAACTATTCAGGGTTGAAATTTGTAAGTAGTTGTTATTAGAAATTAGATCCTTTTCAGTGTCAATCCAGAAACATTTTGCCTTTGAGATTGCCAATTTTTAAGTGGCTACTCTACACATATGGCCATAAAAGAATGGGAAGATGATAATGATTATATCCATGCTATGAATCCCTGGCTGACTCCTATAGCTCAAGTGGTTGATAAAGGCATAGAAGCAAGCCAAAAGTAAGTTGGTTTGATGTTTTTTTCCTATGATTGATAGGCATTACTCATTTTTTGCATGAATGCTGATTTCTATTATAAGATAAAATCTATTATTTTATATCTCAAACTTCTATCTATCTATCTATCTATCTATCTATCTATCTATCTATCTATCTATCTATCTATCTATCTATCTATCTATCATCTATGAGAAATACCACTGATGCATCATCATGACATCTCCAGTACTGTAAAGCCTATAAACTTGAAATTTGGCACGTATGTTCCTTTTGGCTTCTAGGTGCTTGCTAAGAAAGGATTTTTTAAAATGACCATCAGATCATCAGTATTCCTTATTCAGTATTATATTAACACACGATGCTAAAGAGTCAGGTATTCTACTCCCCCTATCCCTCACTCGACCAGGCATGGGCATGGCCAGCTCATGACTCATCTGGCTTGCAGGCCTTACGTATCAATTTATCAAGCCCGATCACATAGTTTTATAGCGAAGCACGGGTTGTCCCTATCCTAGCCATAAACAAATGCTTTTCCTTCTGTATGAAGAAAGAGAGCTAACCCTACAAATTCACAATCTGTGTTGGCAATTGCAGTGACTTTCAGAAGCCAGTATAATTGAAAGCACTGGATTATCTGGATTGGCAAATTAATTCGTACAGTGAGAGTTCTGTCTGGACAAGCCTTGAAAAGATAGCATTCACCACGCCCCAGATGTCATGAAAGGAAAGAAAGAAATTAATTCTTGGTGGGCCTGCCAATTTTGTAGTGTACTGTGGGTCAGAAGAAAGAACAGGTATCCTTGGCTGAACTCTCAAACATTTTCACCTCTAGGTGGAACAGCTGCAAACAGAACAAACAAGGTGCCAACAACCGTCCTGTCAACCAGACGCCTTCCCCAGAAGGAGAGAAACTTCATAGTGACAGCGGCATCTCGGTTGATAGTCAAAGCCTCCACGATCAACAGCCACCAACACAAACAGCATCTCTACAAGGCAAGAGGAGGGGTCAAGCTGAAGCTGGGAGGGGAAGAAACCAAAGAGCAGGCATGCAATTCAGAAAGACAGGAAACGATACCAAAAGATACTATAGCCCTGGCAGACACCAAGAGGACAGTTAATCCAAGAACCATCTACTTTCTAGATCACATCCCTCTTGTGGCTTGTCCTGTAAATCAACCACTGAAATCCCAACTATGGTTTGCCCTGGGCAGATAGCAAGTATACACAGGTTTTTGTTGATGCAACTGTAACTAACAAACCAAGTAAAATTACAATGGGGAAATAAGGAAGGTGGGGCAAATAGCTTATTCCTCTGCCTCCACATTTCACATTTTTTTCCAGAAATATCAGATTTAGTGTTTTTCCCTTTCACTTCTGTCAAATTAAATTTATTACTGTGGAAATTCTATGTTTTTATTTGTACTAAAATTTGTATGCATTGTGGTACACATTGCTCTAAACTTTTTTTGTTATCTATTTTACTTACATACACTGTTTTCACAAATAATTATCTAATATAGTAGACAATTAGTAATATATATTTTTAGTATATAATTCATGAATATATATTTGGGTTAGACTTTTCTCTAATATATAATATCTCTTTTAAGAGATATTGTTGGTGAGCCACAGTGCAGATTTGAAAATTGGGGGTGGGATCTTAGTTTTGATCTATGTTTTATTTAAAAATGCAAAATATGGTCAAGTTGCTGTCAAAGATAAAATTAAACATAGTCTTCTCCCATTCCTGGGAAGAAGGCTGGTCTTCACTATTTTACAGGTGCCAATACGAATCGAAAGTGTGGAAAATTATTCGTTTCTCAAGAAATGCTATAGAACAGTGTTTACTTAATATTGAATTTAGGTTCAGATTTCAGTTCTAGGATATAGTTTGGAAAATCCATTGTTGTTGTTTTAGTGATTTCAAATCAGCGTTGATTCCTGGAAACTGCTGGGACAAGTTCTCGCAGTCTTTTTGGAAGTTTTTCAGATGTTTTGCCATTGGTTCCTTCCTAGAATTGAGAAAGAATGACTGACCCACCGTCACCCAACTGGCTTTATGCCTAAGGTAGGACTAGAACTCATGGTCTTCCAGGTTCTGTCCTGATGCCTTAACCACTACACCAAACTGGGGCTCTTGCCACTTTTCTACCATGCTTCATATTATTTATGCTAGAAGGTTAAGTCCAGATGAAATAAGTCCAAATACAAATATTTGCAGAGTAAAAACAACAGCTCTCAAAACTATACTTTTTTGCTTCCTATACTAAAAGTTGAGATCAATTTTCACTCTAGATGGATGAATTTATATGCAATTGGTATGAAAGCTAGTTTACTTCTATTAGGCAAATAGATATGGTCATTAAAACCATATTTTGCCTAGTAACTGGGAGACATTTTTGTACTTAAGGACATAAAATTAAATTATTTTTCCAAAAATTATATCAACTCTCACTCTTACTTCACCATGTAGATTATTTTGGGTTAAATTTAATTTTTTTTAAAAGATCAATCCAAGGATTTCACTTCAGGTTTAGGATTAGGGGCATAACCCATTGAGATCATATTTAAAAAACACACAATTTAGGAAAAATAAGGAATTTGTTAAATATACAGCAGGAAGCCTGGTGGTGCAGTACTTAGAATGCAGTACTGCAGGCAAACTCAGTCCATAGCTTGAAGTTCGATCATGACCAGCTCAAGGGTGATTCAGCCTTCCATCTTCCGAGGTCAGTAAAATGAGGACCCAGACTGTTGGTGGCAATATGTTATCACTGTAAAGCTCTCAGAGAGTGCTATAAAGCACTGTGAAGTGGTATATACAGTAAGTCTAGATCAGTGTTTCTCAACCTTGGCAACTTGAAGATGTCCGGACTTCAACTCCCAGAATTCTCCAGCCAGCATTCGCTGGCTGGGGAATTCTAGGAGTTGAAGTCCGGACATCTTCAAGTTGCCACGGTTGAGAAACACTGGTCTAGATACTATTGCTAGTGCAATTGCTATACAAGATTTTCAATAACTCATAGCAGATGAGAAAGAATCATTTTAGATTCTGAATGGTGCTGTTTTATCAAATTATATTGCCTACCATTGCAACTCTGCCACCCACTAGTTATGACTCACTCTATGAGCCCATTTCTTCCTCAAAAGATTTTACCAGGTTGATATCAACCTATGGCATGAGGTTTACATTTGAGAGAGTGGGCATTTGTTGCTTTTTGATACTTAGATCTTCTGCTGTTCCACTTCACAATTTCTACCTCTGTGCTCTTTGCAAACAAATAATTAGTGAATAGTATTTCTTGTAATGATAAACACTAGTTAATTTAGTCATAATGTATGTCATAAATCATAACTAACAGTGTCATAAAACATAGTAAGCCATAAATTATAAATTACAGCGTCTGAGTACATGGGTCATATTAAGCCAAAAAGAACTAACCACATTTTCCTTAAAACCAGTAAATGGAGCAAAGAGTAAATAAGAAAAGATACTCTTTTTCTATTTCGGGCAGTCCATGCCAACTGGACCATTATGAATAAATGTTAATATGGAGAAGAAGGAAAAAGTCTCCCTCAACATCATATGCATGTGGAAGAGCAGTGCATTATCTCCCACTAACCTTGGTGTGTCTTTGGTTTGGTTTGGTTTGAATGCCACTCCCACTCCTGGCAGTTTACAATAGTAACGAGCATAATAAAAACTGCATGAAGACTTGAATCGAACTGGGCTTAAAGGGCCTTTCAAAATTCTTCAACATATTCATGAATGGAAGAATTGGATAGACCATTTCTTTGACTTTCTCTAAGTGAACAAAGAACTCTCCTACAAAGGATAGGACTTCCATTCTGTGGAGACACAAACATCACTCCTGAAAAAGCCACATAAGAAGAATTTTGGCTTGAGGTTGGTTTGAGGTATCAGAAGCCAAGGAGGCTGGAGAAACGCAGCCCTCTGTCACTTCTTAACTAAGGAAGCTCAAGAAGGCCACAATCTTTTCTTCTTTGAGCTTCCTCTGCCTGATTCTGGGTTTTCACAGGCAACCCTGTCCTCTTTTTCTGCTCTCCACATGTTTAGCTGGGAGGCCTGAAGATAAGTTGAACAAGGATTATTTTAAATGTCATAGCTCTCCATGCCATCTGGAGTCCCAGAACACACAGCAAGCTGCACTGTATTCCACAGAAGCTAAATGCTTGGTGCTTAGTAAGAGCTGTATGGAAAGGGTGAACGAGTAGTCTTGTCCTTTACTCATTTGTAAGCCCAAATGGTGCTCAGATGACAATTTCTCAAAATTTGGAGCCACCATTCTTTCTTTCTACAAATGCATTGGGATTGTACCAAATGGGAAATCCTGGAACTAAAATGAATATTTATACATTTTTAATTTGAGAGATGTTCAGAACGGAGTGGTTACAACATTAATTGTAATACAGACAAAGAAAAGAATATCAGGATATTAATGTTTATGTCTATGTGAAAATAATGGTGGTTATAATCTTACCTGGATTATTTATAATCATTCATATTCTGCCTTGCCCAGTGAAGTTCATGAAATTATCCAGAAAAACCTTCATCCAAACCTTGAATATGATTTATCTTTGAAAGTATATTGATCTGTTTATATTTCTTATAAATCACAGAACACAAACATCAATAATTCCATGCTTTTCAGAATGTTCTAATACTATTTTTAAAAAAGATACTATAATATGTGCTAAAAAGAATATTTCATCAAAGGAATTTTACATGAAATGCAAACCTAGATATTTTATTGTGAAATCCATCTACAACATTTTTGCGCCAATCTCTCTCTCTCTCTCTCTGTGTATGTGTGTGTGTGTGTGAGAGAGAGAGAGGAGGGGGGGAGGGAGGGAGGGAGGGAGGGAGGGAGATTATACAGAAATAGGATGGAATAAATTCACATGACAAAAAGAGTTTGAGTCTCCATAGTAAAGGATTATCTATGGCTCTCATAACAATAGCTGATAATTTCCCTTTCCCTCCTGGGCTTTCCCCCTGGATCATGCACAATTGCTGAGGATTGTTGTGGACAGCTAAAGCCTTAATGGTGTAGGGTCTGCTTGGGTGGGGAATTGGACTAGATGACCTACAAGGTCCCTTCCAATTCTATTAATCTGTACCATCTGTATTCATTTTAAATTTGTCACATTGTTCTGGGGCTATGTGTGTGGCATTGCCCCAATTGCTAAAACCAACTTTGGGAACATGGAATAGGTAAATGAGTGAGTAAAACTCTCATGCAGATGATCTTTTTTTAACCTTTATCCCAAACTCATTCCTCAATTTCAGGTCTTAAAGGAGATGGGAATCTTTACACTAGCCTGCCCCCTAACAAACGCGAGGAGGTTGAAAAGCTGTTGAACGGTTCCACAGAGGAGACATGGCGTCACCTGGCCGGAGAACTAGGCTACAAGGAAGATCACATAGACTCCTTTACACAAGAGGAATACCCCGTCCGTGCGCTGCTCTCTGATTGGTCCAGCAAGGACAGTTCCACCATGGATGCCCTTTATTCAGCCTTGCGCAAGATTCAAAGGGGGGACATTGTGGAAAGCCTTTACAGTGAATCCACTGCTAGCTCTCCAGTGTGAAGGAGGAAGAGGGGGCAGAGGTTAGCTCTCAGTTAGCTCCTCATTTCCCCTGCCCCACTGGTGCCTCTTGGAAGAAGAACATGTGAAGGAAAAATAGAGCTCATTCTTTCCGGGGACACTGGAACAATCCTGTAAGCACTGATTGTTATTTAGTTATTTTTCCCTCTCTGCCCTACCGTCCTGGTATTTTCGTCCAATAGTTCCTGCTAGTAACAGATAATAAGATGGTAAAAGCAAATGAAAGAAGGGAAAGGAAATGGATGTCTTGTTTATACTCTATATGCTCCTTAAAATCTCCTGGACCTATAGTGGACTGCTGATTCTGAACTGAGACAAGAATGAAGAAAGACATCCGTCCAAAGCGAATTGCTTGACTTCTCTTCCAGGTGCCTCTGACATTCATCCCATGTGCTTCTCTCATGATCCCATCGACATTAGTTCTCTTTCTTCTCTTGTACATCTTCTTTCCTTCAGCCACCAGTTTACCCTATTCAAGCACATCTGAAATCAGGAAAAAAACAAACCAAGGAGACCAGCCCGATATGCTACAGAGTGATGAAGGATTCAAAGAAGGCAGAGAGAGCAGGAATGCTGGGCCTGAAACTAGGAGACATATGGTGTTTAGAGGACAAAGTGAACATTTGTTTTGAGGCAACCTCCTGGAGGGTCTCTGAGTGGGGAGAAAAGAAATGTGGACCAGGTTTCTAGCTATCAAAACTGACAATATGAAGATCAAAGTGAGAAGTTAAGGGATGGAACCCAAAGAGAAAATAACCACATTTCCATCCAAGTATTGGTGACCACATCAAGACTATATTTGATCCTACCCTTGTTTTCTTGCTCAGATTCATTCTTCCTAGCTAATAAGGATTTTTTTTAAAAAAACACCTTTTCTCTTTTTCTCTTTTTGGGTCTGACTCAAACCAGTTTAAAGTCATATAAACCCTTGTTTAAAGGAGCCAGATAGTGGCCGCCTTGCGTCGCCATGTGCAAATGGGTGGCAATATAAATTTCCTAAATAAATAAAATAAGCCACACTGATGAGTGGACCTAATCAGAAGCAAACAAAGCAAGTGGTCAGACATATTCATTCATTTTCCAAGGTATGCTGCTTTGATGAAGCCACAACCTCTACGTTCTTCTTCAAACTGGTAAACCAATCACTGTGTGTTAAGAAGCTGTTATCTCTATTGCGTTATAAGGGGAAGCAAGCAAAAAAAAATCCCTTAGTGGCCTTACTGCACAAAGTAGGGAGCAATCTATATGAAAACATAGCTATTCTCAGAGGTAGAATTTTGTTGAATGTTATTCCTGTGTCAAGCCACTAAAGCAACCTGGTATTTTCTGTTTTCAAATATTAGAGGGATATGACAGTACTATGGGGATAACATGGTGGGGAAATTCTACAAGCTAACAAGAATCACCAAAAGCTCTTGGGCAAANAAAAAATATATAAAAAAGAACAAACAATTTTTAAAATGCGTTGAATTCAACCATGAGCAACAGAGAGAAGGAGAGAGAGAGAGAAAGAACTAGAACTGAACATTTCCCTCCCTCTATTTGTATTACAAGATTAATGTTGCTTTCTTTTATTCTTATTTGGATGGTATTCATATAGACCAGATGAAAAGAAATGGTGGCATTTGAAAGCTGATAGGGTTTTAAACAGTTGACTGGGTTGTTCATGGGAATTTAGCTGCTCATCTTGTTTCTCTGATTTAAAACCATGGAGAAGAAATTTCTCCATCATATGTATGCACGCACACGTATATATAAATATATACTTAGAAAGTAATGGGAATACTTCCTGGGGAATGTTAGTTAGGAATGCTAATTAATTTCCTTTCTCAACCAAGAGATGATTAGGGAAGCTTGGCAGGCTGCACAAAGTGTTGCTATTCTGATCATTTTTCTGTCATCATACCAGTTTTAATGGTTTGCCTCATCAGAAAACTTCTTTTTTAACCTTGAAATTTTTGCTGTCAACAAAACTTAGTAGCAATTTTAAATAGGATAGTACAAACAGATTGAGAAAAGTTAATTACATTTTTGCTTTCTATTTAAAAACTTTTTACAGAACAACTAAAATCATGTCTTTATTCATAGAATGTTGCTATTACATAACAATGATAATAAAGCAACCAGAGGAAGAGCTAATAATATATCTAATGGATTCTTAAATTGTTTAGAAGAAAAATATGGAGATACATGGACGTACTTGTGGCCTTGCTGATTTTGGGTCTAACTACTGGCCCACCTAGCTTAACATTCTTCTTTGATCTGGAAGCAATCTTCATTTATTCGGACATAAGCCTTTTTGTATCAATTCTGAAACCCAAGGTCCCTTTTTATAGCATGAAGGGCAAAATGCTTGTGAAGACACACAAAGCAGGCACTTTACCTCAGAAATCCAACTCACAATCTAGTTCAACCTCCTCTTGGTATACAACTTGGAGATAATTCCAATGGCCCTTTTCTCTTCTTGTAGAGATATGTGCCTTGTGTTCAGTGACTATACCAAAGAAGCAAAACAGAGTGCCAAATGGTTTTGCTTTTCTTGAACATGCAATTAAACAACTCTGCCTTTTAAGATCTACATTAAGCCTGCCATTTTTCTTTGGGGACAACCAAATCTATACAGATTAAGAGATACAGGCAAGATAGAAACCCCACAGGAATTTTGGATTATAGCGAACTATAGCAAAATTTAGCAGGTAAATTTTGGCACATGACACATATGATTTGGAGCTTTTCCTGCAAAAGAGAGAAAGCCCTTCTTCTAAATAATATTCCTTATTGTTCTGAAGACAGAGTAGGAACAAGAAAACCAATAAATATAAAAGACTGAATGATTAGTATTCCTGAATAATAAAACTATGAGGTATAAATTGTCATATTGTAACTGTGTTTTGCAACAGCTACATCTCTTCCCAAAATCATGTTACCAACTGCATGATCCTAGGAAAAGATGGGACTATTTTTTAAATGTCGCAGAGACATCCTATGTCAAAGCTTCTTTTTGGAATGAAATCAGAAATGTGGTACAGTTGTATTAAATATCATAATCATGTGATTGATTTGCGCTGTTAGTACTTGCATATGAAGACCCCCTCCTCATATATGACTAAGAAGGACACAGTGTCAGTGAATTACAGTGCCTTTGGAGTACAACTTTTTCTTTTAACCCAGGAAATTTTTATGGGCTGTTCTTATGTTAACAGCCCATAAAAAGAGAGGGAAATATGATATGGTAAAGAAAGGCAGAGCTTAGTTGAAATTTGGCCTATTTTACCTGGAGTAACATAGAGTATATCTCTATAGCAGAGCCATGCTTAGTTGTAAAGATACAAGTATAGAAGAGAATAAAATGAGAAAATAACACTTTATTATAATTCATTGTGGCATATGTCTCCATTTTATTCACTGCATTGAGCACAGTAAATCTGTGGCTTTTCTTTGTGGGTTCAGATGCCAGACTATTCAAAAAGCTCGATAGTTCCTGCTAGTCTCCTGCTAGAAGATTGAAGGGGAATAATTGGTTATTTTCTTGGGGCTACTTAAAATGTGTATGGGAGAGTGTGTATATATGCAATACACACACTTCCAGGTTAGAATCCATGTTGGATTTACAGATTTGGTGGATCCAGGAAAACCCTCCTCCATTCCATTGGAGAAAGGAAGTTTCCAAAGTTGAACTTCTTCCTTGAAAATTAGAACTTTTTCTCCAAAAAAGTTGGTTGAATGACAATTTATAGTTCAAACCATTTTATGTCTTCATTTGTTTATGTGGGGGTTTTATATCTTATCCCAAAATACTGAATAAATATTTCTCTTGACAGAAGCATTGGACTGGTTAGTAGGTTTCACTGTGGCTAGCTAGTAAGTTTCAATAAGATAGACTGGAGATCTACTCCCTTCACTTCTATGTTGGCAAGGGTGGGCGACTTAAAAGTGATTGGGAGGAGAAAAAGGTCACATCTGCAATGTAAATGTAAATGATTTTGTAACCGCTGCATGGCCATGTACATGTGTACTGTGCAAATATGAATAACCTTATGGATGTATTACAAAAATCAGATGAGGAAAGGGTACACTATATTAAGTGTTCAGTTGAGCCCCCCCCCCGATGCAATTCGTGCATTTCAAGAGGTTTGAATTTCTCTGCCCTCATTCTTCCCTATCCCTTGAACCAAATTGACATCACAAAATATCCCCTAAATTTTGCAGCTCCTCCAAGTTTACTTTGCAATCAAAAAAGACAAACTGAGCAGATTTAGATAAACATACCTAATGGGCCTACAGCTGTTCCAGACATTTCGGTACAGACACAGATGTTAGCTTTTAATGATAAATATCCTGGAGTCCATGGCTGATGTTAAACTGTTATATATGTGTTTGAGTTCATTTCAACTAATTGATGAATTATAATTAGCAACTAATCAGTTTTGGTGATTAGTCAAGACTGCTGTGTGGCTAGATAGCAGCAAACCACTTTGAAGAGCAGCACCTTTGTTGAGTTATCATTCAAAAAAATCATTCAGTTTTATGTGTTGTATCCTTCTTCTTTTTCACAATAGCATGGGCTATTTAGTATCTGGGTGGTCTCTCGTCCAATTGCTGCTCTGATCCAAACCTGTTTACCTTTAGAAGCTCAGTTGAAGCAAAGGTACTTTCGTAAACATTGATTATAGCACTAGTAGAACATGTTTCTTCATCTGCACACTATAAAAAAGTGAAACCGTAATTGAATTTCCATTACCATTAAGGGACATTGTGGCTTTTCCATGCATTCATCCCATTGTATTATTCCATCCCTAAGTCCTTAGCACTATTCTTTTATCTTTTTAAAAGATGTAGCTTTGACATAGTCAGGAACATAATGCAGCTAAACCTAAGCTAGACAACCCCTTAATATCATTTTTTGTGTGTGATGTGGTTCTATTTTTAAATTTACTTTTAAATAGGACCAAAATATCTCCCCAGCTTTAGCTCTGTTACAGCAAAACAATACTTATATTGAACTTTCTGAAGAGTTCTATCCCTTTGATGTCATAATGCAAAATGTTTCTAGATATAACTGTTTTAACAAGTAATCAGTGATAAGGACTGGAGCAATATTTTTTAAAAAATTGTTAGCATAGCTTAGTTTTAATGTAACACTTAAGCATTAGATGGTTAATTTAAAAAAAATTGAAAAACTACTATTGGTCATACTGTTAAGCTATGACTGGAAATAATATTCTTTCATTTGTAACACACTTGAGAGACCGCCTACTGCCAATTACCTCCACTCGACCAATTAGATCACATAGATTAGGCCTCCTCCGAGTTCCATCTGCCGGTCAATGTCAACTGGCAACCACGCGGAGGAGAGCCTTCTCGGTGGCAGCTCCGACCCTATGGAACGATCTCCCCGTGGAGATTCGTACCCTCACCACCCTCCAGACCTTCCGCATAGCCCTTAAAACCTGGCTGTCCCGTCAGGCCTGGGGTTAAAGACCCCAACCCACCCGAATTGTATGAATGTTGTGCTTTTAAGGATGTACTGTCTTATGTGTTAATTTGTTTGTCCTCCCTTCCTTCCGAATTGTGAGCCGCCCTGAGTCCCCCCAGGGAAAATGGCGGCATATAAATAAACTACTCATACTCATACTCATACTTTCATTTATACAGAATTTTACTTCTACTTTATTTTAGACCATGTGTGTGTGAGAGAGAGAGACAGACAGACAGACAGAATCAGAGAAAGGAATTAGAAAAGCAATTAAAATGGATGATGATTAAAAGGTCATCTGATTAAATTGCAGGCATGATGATGAACTAAATCTTTTGGTCTCCCCAATCTTTTTTTAATACAGTTTTTATTAATTTATAATATAAAATACAAAAATATAAAAGCAAATAGTAGGAAAAATAAGGGAGGGAAAGTGAAGGAGAAGTGTAGAAAAGAAGGGAAAAAAGAAAAAAAAGGTATTGACTCCCGACTCCCTCTGTTGCAATA